GACAAGGTGAAGCCTGGGAAGGTGTGCCTTGTGGCTGGCTGGGGGAGACTGGCCCCAAATGGCAAATACCCCAACACACTGCAGGAGGTGGAACTGACATTGCAGGAGGACCAGGTGTGCAAGAACCACTTCCGCATTTACAATAGCAACATAGAGATATGTGCGGGGGATCCAAAGAAAAACAAAGATCCCTTTCAGGTGAGACTGAGTGTCTGTCTCTCTTGGCTCTGTGTGTGAGAGGCCCTCTTGTGTGAGAGATATTTGGGGGAAGATCTGGGGCCTGGAGACCAGGCAGCATGGGCCTCCCTCACCCAGTTGGCTGTCATTTCTCCCTGGAAAGAGAAGACGGGAGCAGCTGGGAGGACCTAGGGCCTGCATTGAATGATGCCTGCCTGGAAAGCTGAGCTTGCAATGCTCCACACTGCCTCAGCTCACAGGCATTAGAGACCTGTGCACTTATGTGTGCAGTTGCTCTCACTAAGTGGCTTCTCAGTGCTGGCACCCACCCTGGTCCCTGGGCTCATCCTCCATGCTGGTGTCTGTGCCACTCACCTGCTTCCACAACCTTGAAAAATGCAACAGTGGTCCCTCACACTTTCATATGGAGAAGATCCCAGAACCTGTGGAGCAGGATAGAGGCGGAACCCAGGAGGGAGGTGAAGTAATAACAATGTCCACAGTCAGAACATATCAGCTGAGGGCCCTTAGAGTCTTGCATAGTCCTCTGAACGCAGACTCTACAGGTCGTCCTTGTCTGAGAAGGAGCCTGAGATGGCAGGGAGGATCCAACCAGGAGGATACAGGCTCAGTCCTCCCTCTTCTCTCTTCACAGGGGGACTCCGGAGGCCCTCTTGTGTGTAACCATGTGGCCCAAGGAATTGTCTCTTATACATATAATAATGGGACACCTCCAAGCGTCTACACCAAAGTCTCCAGATTCCTACAGTGGATAAAGGAAACCATGAAAAGCCACCAACTGCAGGAGACAGACTAACTCTGTAACTAACTTCCTTTCCCAGAACTGATTCTAGAATCACCCTGGAGGAGGTGCCCACAACTGAATAAATGTCCCTTAGCAATGTGGGAAGGCTGGTCTCTTCTTTATTCACTGGCCTTCATTCACAGGGTTTGTGTGCCAGGCAGCCAATGACAAAGCTCTGCTGTTTTCT